CCCCACCAATCAATCAATCAATCAATCAATCCATCAATCAATCAATTAATTTGTTTTGTTTTCTATTTTTTAAATTGTTTTGTCACGCACCAAGAAAACACCCCCTCAAATTTCACTTTTTGTTTTTGTTTTTTTAGTGGCTTTCGGAGGGGGACGCCATGCGCAGGCGATAGGCTCACCCCATTTTCGGGCACACGGCTCCGCCTGGTCTTTGTGCGGCCGCAAAGATTCTCGGTCGCGCGGCCTAGGCCGCAGGGTAGTGGCGGGCCTCCTTAGCCGCAGACGAGGCCGCAAGATCCGCGGCCGTAGGGGTTACGTAGCCAGTCAGTCCTTGCAAGGATCTGCTCCATTGGCGTTTTCCTTCTTGCAGTGTATGGCCACTCGCCATGATTGCGACAGCGCAAGTGCGTGTTCTGTCCCGGCTGCCACGTCGATCGTGCTTGACCTGTACCGCAGGCTGCCTTTGTTGCTGCTCGTCCTTGTGATGCTGCTTATCGTTGTGCTCTTCCACATCTACTTCCTCGGCCGCGTTCTTGGAAGGTGAGTGACGCCGTGAGCGTCGAAGAAGGCGAGGAAAATTGACAACCTTCAGACAACGACCACGCTGTCAGAAGGGGCGGGGGGATCTTCACGTAAGCGTTGCACCGGTGTGGAAGGTGGTAGGCGGCCATACGACTGGACACTGTACAGCCACCTACTGTCCCACGAGATTCCATTGCCTTCGAGTGACGACGACGCTGACGACCCTCGATCCTCAACGGTTCCTCTGAGCAGCGGTTCGACGCAGGATTAAATGGGGAGTCAGCTCTTCAGACAGACAAAACGCCCTCGCACACTAATCTGCTGGAGGGACGGACCCTGGATGGCTACGAAGCAGGCCTCGTCGATCTCAACTTCAGTTTGAGGTCTGGGAGGTGTGAGGACATCAGACACACCGTCATCGTGAACCCAACTTTAGGCAGCAACAACACACCGCCTTCGGTAAGGGAGGGGGAACTTC